ATGAAAAATGAGAAGAAATTAATTCATATATAAGTTTTATATATTATATTTATATAAAATTTTAATAATTAAAATCATTTTTTTAAATTTAGTGATTCACATTCGGATTTGTTGATCGAAGTTTTGATATTTATAGATTGTTTAAAAATAATTTAATAATTTATTTTTTTATTATTTTTTATTTTTAATAATTAAAATTTATCATATTTTTAAATAAAAAAATAATTATTTTTTAATAAATATAAATAAATCTTAACTATTGAAGTAGAATAATAAATAAGAGATTTTTTATATAAATATACTTTGTAAAACTTGTATATAAATAAATTTTTATTTATGAAAAATTGTAGTAACAAAAAAATTTAACTAAAGAAGAAATTTTTATTTCAAACATAGGGAAAATGGCTTTCTATAGAAATGAAAGGGGAAAAAAATATCGTCCTTTTGTATTGAATGGGAAAATTAAAGAACAAAAATTTTCCCAATTTTATTTGCTATATATCATCAATTCATCCCCAACCAAACACAATAAAATAAATTAAATTAAAGTAGCACCAATCTTAATGCTCTCCATATATATCAAACAAACTGCACATAAGATATCAAAAACGTTTGGAATTAACATCCAAAACTTCCATAGGCAGTACTGAAACAACACATGCCACTGTGTGAACTAATTAATTAATTAAGATAATCTCTCTTTGGTCTCTTTCACTATATAGATCTTCAAATTCTATATATATAGAACTCACATGAATCTTCAAATTAATCTCTATAAAATATTTTCAATTTCAAGCACACTTTGGAGGAGGAGGTCTTGTAAGCTATTATGATCTATCTTCTTTTCCTTCCATGAAAAATGGACAAAATATTATATTTTAATTTGAAGACATGAAGTGCAGTCTCCAAACGAACCTACTTGAGAACTTACATGTGGTGAAATTTCTGAAATTTCCATGTCTTCTCTGAGCTTCAAAAATCAAACAAGAATGGATCCTCATCATTCCAAATGGAAGCTGGGGGATAATCATCATCGTTCGTGAAGGGCCAAACAGATGGAGATCCGGGTCCAACCACTAAAACTGGATCCGGACTCACTGGTGCAACGGCAGGCGTCTTATGAGCAATCGGCATAGACAAACCTAAACCCACCGCACCGATCAACGAGTTGACATCATCAGAGAAATTCCCATGATGAAGTTGTAAGTCCTGACATTGATAATAAGGGTTAGTGTTTGGATACGAGGTTGTCTCCGCGGGCCCAGAACCACCACTGCTGACGTCGTTTCCATTAAACGGCGCGTAATACTGATGCTGAGGTAGTTGCTGAAACACTTGCATTACTTGCGACGGCGCATTCTCTGCATGGGTAGGGTGCAACAACGCTGGTGACTGGTAAACCCCATATTGCCCGAACCCCAAGGGAACACCCGCCGCCATGGGAACCGAATGAACCACTTGAACCGACGGGGAAAAGCTGAACCTGAACTCCGAAGGACGAGGAAGCAAAGGCCTTAACGTCTGGGTTGAGGATGAGGAGCCACTGCGTGAAGGAGAAGACTGAACCGATGAGGGGGAAGCAGAGGGTTGAAGATTAAGCTGAGTTTTAGAACCGTAGAGAACCATGGCGGCACGATCATAAGCGCGAGCTGCTTCCTCGGCTGTGAAGAAGGTACCGAGCCATTTTCTAGAGCGTTTTCGGGGTTCTCGGATCTCGGCGACCCATTTATCCCAGCTCCTTTGCCTTACCCCTCTGTATCTGAACTTGTTATTATCAGGACCACCTTTGCCTTTAGACTTTTTGCTATTGGTAGTGCTGGCGGTGCAGTCACTGTTTGTGGTGCTATCATCAGCGCTGTTAGTGGTGGTCGTTGCGGTGGTGTCTTGGGGAGGGTGAGGGACAGTAGATTCGTCCATTGAAAGAGAGAGAGAGATATGCCTCGTTCTTTGTTGTTGATTAGTGGAAATAGGGATGGGGGAGGGGTCTGCGTTTTGAGTTGAATGTCATCTCTGTTAATGGTGAATGGAGGCGGTGGAGTATGTCATTGTATATAAAGGGGGGAGGAGAGAAAAAGATATATTGATGAGGTGTGAAGTAAACGGGGGGGAATTTGATTTGGGAATTTGGAATTATCAAATGCATACATTAAACATTGGACTCCTTGTTTATAGGCTGAATGGTAAAAAAGAGAGCCTTAAAGTGTAATTTAGTACAATTTAGGGGTTGTTTGGATTATTTTTTTGATGTAACTAGTAATTGGTATTAAACAATTGTTAATTTTTGTTATTTATAATTCAAAATATCCAACCCATTTTAGTAAATTCAATAGCTGATGGTTATTTAAAAAAAAAAAAATTAAAACAAACACCTTTAAGAGAAGTAATCACTACCTTTAAGAGAAGTAATCACTACCTTTGGAAACGAAAATGTGAATATTATATGTTTGCGATTAAAAATTTGATCATTTAAGTTTGAAGTGACTATCGTGCACATAACCTTTTATTTATTTATTTACTTATGGCACCTATAATTACAGTATTTTTAGGTGAGTTTTTATTGATTTGAGGTCAATCTCTTCTTGTGAAGACTCTTTCATCTCTCTCTCTCTCTTTTCTCTAATTTTAAAGGTGCACATTTACATAACTCTTGTGCACTCAAATAAATTGATTTTTTTGATAGTTAAATTAAAAACTAAACCTCAAATTTAATCTATAATATAATATTTATTTATTAATATATTCAATTCTTGAGTAATGATGTTTTTATCAAATATATATATATATATATATATATATATATTAAGAATCCTATTTCAAGGGGTTTGCAGCTCCAGCCGCAGCCTGACATTAGAAAGCAAAGGTAAGCCCTTCCATTCTTCTTGTCAATTTCGCGCCTACTAAGGTTGAATAAGATTACGTTAAACAAAACTGGATGGATGCCTTTATACTTTAATTTGGTCTGAGAAATTATGATGAGATTCTGGTTAATTAGTACAAAAAAAAAATTCAGTAATGATAGTTTTTCAAAAAAAAAAAAATATTAAATTTAAATCACATAATATATAAATAAAATATTTTAAAAAATAATAAAAAAAAAAGTTACCTCCCACTATATTTAACTACTTATTTAAGTCAAAGGAGCTTTTAGAGTGGGTTTAATTATTTGTGAATTCTGATCCATTTGGAAATTAAGTGGGCTGGAAGATCAACCTTATGATGATTATGATCTATAAATAGATGATTCAGAGAGTTTTTCAGAGGTCAAGCCCAATGACATCATTTGGGCTGAAAGAACTGTTATGGTGATCTAGAAAACTGTTCAGATACCCAGCCCAATTGTAACAGGCAATTTAAGAAATCCCCAAAACAGCAATTTCCCCAATTTTCCTCCAAACCCCCCCAAACCTTTTTTTTTTTTTTTTTTTTTGGGGGTGCGGGGGTGATTTGATTTTCTCTAAACCCTAAACATCTGAAGCCACATTCAGAACCAGAAGAGAACAGGCATAACCTCCATTTCCATTTTTTTTTCCCTTTCACTGCTAATCAAACCATAGAAAATGTATCTTCTTCGAAAACTCCCCATCAAGCACCCAAATTCCCTATCAATTCCCAAAACCCTCGCCGCTCGTTTCTACACCAACCAAACCCTTGATCGGAGCTCATTCCCCGACGAGCCAACCTCCGCCTACTACGATGAGCTCACCAACAACGCTGCTCGATCTGGGGATCTGGAGACTATACTTGTCCTGTTCAACAAGCGCAGAAGAGACGGTTGCTTCCCCACCACCAACACCTTCAAGTTCCTCACTAACACGGAATCTTCTCGTTCATCCCTCATCACTCTCGTACAAACCCTAATTCGTGTCGACAAGGGTTTGGCTCGGAACACCGCATTCGAATCCCTTATCGCCCGCCTCTGCAAACTGGGTTGGATCGACGACGCGCTGCAGGTGCTGGATGCGATGTCGATCGGAGACTGCCGGTTCACCGCCTTCAGCTTTTATCCGATATTGCAGGCGCTGACAAAGAAAGGGAAGGTGGAAGAAGCGTGGCGCGTGATGGAACGGATGAGAGAGGTAGGCGTTCCGCCTGATCTGACGGCCTACAATTACTTCCTGACTTCCCACTGTTATGATGGGAATCTGAGGGCGGCGAGTGAGGTGATGAAGAGAATCGAAGAGGAAGGATTGGGTACGGACGCCCGTACCTACGATGCGCTGGTGTTGGGGGCGTGTAGGGCGGGAAAGGTAGAGGGAGCTCTGATGGTGTTGGGGAAGATGGTGGATGATGGATTCCATGTGATGTACTGCACGCATGTGCATGTGATTAAGGCTTTGTTGAAGCTAGGCTATTATGACCAGGCGGTGAGGTTTGTGCTGATTTTCGCAGGGAAGGATGAGAAACTGGATACGGAGAGTTTTGGGGTTTTGGCTCACAAGTTGATTACTTGTGGAAGGTTGGATGAGGCAAAGAGGGTTTTGGAGGAAATGGTTAAGAGGGGTTTGAAAATGGGTGCAAAATTAAGTAAGTTTTATGAAAGTGAATGTAAAGAAGTAAAATGTAGCCAGATACCTTGATTTAAGAAGCTTATAATATGCCATTTGCCCCCATTCTTTTTTGACATTGAAAAACTTGGTATATTATTGCTCGAGTTGTGTTGTTTTTGGCTTTTATCAAGACTTGAGCATTTATATCTTAATCATGCAAATTACGCTAATGATTTTGTTATACTCAGAACTAGAATCTATTCAGTTTATTTGTTAGTTGTTGGGGAACAACTGATAATAGATATACTATTGCTCTTTTGAATAAAATAAACCACTTTTAATTGTTCTAGATTTTGAAGAGATTTGCAAAGATTTATAAATCTTTCACAGTTTATTAAGTTTAGAGTAAAGGTGCAAATAAGGATTCCAACTTTGTACTTTTTTTTATTTAAAGATGTTAACTTTGACAGTTTCTAAATAAGGATGTCAACTTTTAATTTTTTTTCTAAATAAGGATGTTAACTTTTAATTTTTTTCTATTTAAGGATGTCAACTTTTAACTTTTTTTTATTTAAGGATGTCAACTTTCAACTTTTTTTATTTAAGGATGTCAACTTTTAACTTTTTCTATTTAAGAATTAATTGAATAGTAATGCTTACGTGGCAAACATATTTTTTTAGGTTAAATATTTGAATTGGTCCCTCAACTTTTATTTTTAAACCAATTCATTCTTGAACTTCAGAAAGTACCAAAAACATCCTTCAACTTCAATTTTCAATTTCGTCTTTCCGTCAGTTAAATGTTGATGTAGCTAATTTTTTCGCTAAGTGATTGACTATTTTATATTTTCAATATTA